CGAGGGCACCACTGTCTTCTGTTTGTGTGCTTTTCTGAATCTGTGGCTGTAGGTTTAAATTTGCTCTGCTGAGGTAATTTCTTGAGCTGTGAGAACAAGTGTTTCAGGCCAATCTGGAATTTCCAGTTTGGTGTTTCCAGACACTGCCTTGCCTTAGAAACCAAGGCTCCTGCCAACTTCAAATTTCAGTCACATTCCTAGGATAAAAGCCTCCACTAAATTAAAGACATTGCATTTTACAATGTATCTAATGCAAATACCTCTGGCACAGAAGACAGAAATCACTGCTGCATCAGAAGGCAAAGTTGTCTTAGCTCATTAATTAGGATGAAGAAAGAAGTGAAGCTGTGCATCAAAGGCCAAATCTTATGAGCACAGATAATTGCATTTTTAATGCTGTTTCTTATGTGCTCGCTACACTATTACACTTATTAATTATTGCATTCTGAGAGTTGGTGTATATTTTGTGTTGAAATTCTGCCCATTAATTTGAACATCTAGAGCCTTTTTTTTAAAGTGATACACTTTATCTGCTGCCAGATTAACACACATATCCTTTGTTTCTTCAAAAGCAGCGCTGAAAGGATGTGATTTGGAACACTACTTTTCTTCCTGCAAGCTTTTAACAATTTAGAGAAATTAGCTAAAATAGTATAGCAATAGTAGCACATTCTCAAGAGCAAAGCAGCAAACATGCAACTAGCATGAAGTCTTTCTAGGTTGGCACCTACAAATTAAAACATCCCAGCTGATCTGATCTGCAGCTCCTTTGCATTCACCGTAAGAGTCAGTTGCCTGTCATCAACCCTTGCTGTGAGCCTGTGTGTTTTAGGTTGTTCTGCTTCATTGATGCAGGTCAAATAAAAAGACCTTCTCTCCATTTACAGTGCAGCTGTTCTGTGGAGCCTGCACTGACACTTCGTTCCTGCTGTCACATGTTTTACACTGCATACTGGTTGGTACTTCTGGGCAGTCAATGCTGGGCTGGGTACGTGCTCATGTTGAATACACTGTCTTCCTTTTACAGTGAGGGGAGAGAGCTGTGGTAAAGCCCATGTTCTGTGATAACAACTGAGATTGCACAAGGCATAGATCACTGACAGTGAGTGTGATTATCTGTAATTAAAAAGGAATGGATTTCCAGTATTGCTGGCTAAAACATGCTCTGTGTTAGTAACCCTAAACCATCTCTGAACTGAGAGCTCAGTCTTTGCTCATGGACAGAACTGATTCATGTGTGGGACATTTGTCATCAATTGCCAGATGCCATCACATGAGGAGTGATGAAATGCATGTGTACTGAGAAGAAACAACTGCACCACACAGTAAGCCTGCTCCTGTCTTCACATGCTTTGGGATGGTCTAGGCCAAATTTGGCTGCCCTTTTCATCTTTTAAAAAGTGAGCTCTGTGCCCAGCTTCCCTGTGATAAGCAAGCTCTGAGTAACTCCTTTCATGAAAAAGTACCCTCAAAGCACCGATTACACCTGCAGTAGTTGGTATTTACACAAGGGAGGAGTCAGGGAAATTATCCACATGAAAACAGGAGTTTTGATTTCTCGTAAGAATCTTGAGACTTCATGTGGACAAAGCACTCCCACGTCTCTGGTCCTGGCCTAGGGCAAGAGTTGGCTCATAGTGCCTCTTATGGGAAATCTAATTCTTTCCTTCATTTTTTATGTGAAAAATTAGAGTATAACTTGTGCAAAAATCATGAACCTGTTTGAAGAAAATAAAAAAAAAAATAGACATAGTTCTCTGCTTTGGGAAGGTGAGGAGAGTGAGGTAGCGTTTTTGTTTCTGTAATGAGTAGAACTAAAAGCACAAATACATATTTCAAGAGTTGAAGCATATGAAAAATGCTAAGCATCACACATGGATGCTTCATAAGCCTGTATAGGCTGTGTTAAAGGTGAAATACTTTGCATTGTAATACAACCGTGAATTGGGAGCAGTGTGGATACTGAGTAGGCATTATCAATGTCAATACAAAATACACAGAATCTGATGTAGTTGTGAAGTCTCCGTACATTGTGTGTGGTTCACACGGCTCTAACATGCCATTGCACTCCACACAATACTCACATTTGTTACTGATTCAACTGAATTTATGGAAGGTCATGATCCAAATTTAACCAGGGCTTGCTTTGTTTTTTTAATACTTTGCTCTTTTGCCTTTGCCCCTTGTACCTTTGTGTTACTATAGTTGTAACACACAACCTGCTGAGCATGAGCAGAATCAGCTCAGTAGGCCTTGATGTTTCTGTTCCTTTACACGAATGAGAATTTCAAGGCATAACTCAGTGCTTGTATACATTTGGCATTTTAACAAACTTACTGGGGAAAAAAATCCATCCTTACCCATTTATGTTGAAACTTATTTTTAGAGTTCAGTATATTTTCTAGGCCAAAGATGTTTGACTTAATAATTCATCTTGCTATTTTCAAAGTAAGAGGCAGGAAATTTAGTAACACTGACTCTCATCTCTTCCAAGTCCTCTTCTCAAAGACATTTTCCTTCCCTACTGGCTTTTCTTCCTGACTTTTATTTTCTTTTTTGATTCACCGAGGTTCCACAGATGCCTCTTGGAGTGAGGTAACGTTGATCAGTGATGCAGAAAAGAGTGGAACCTTTCAAACACTGTATCCATTTACCAGTGTGAGTTTCAGCCAGGAAACATTCAATATTAATACACTTTTATAAACAACTGTTCAGGAAACAAGGTAACAGAAGAGGAGCTCGTGTTCTGCAGCCACTTAGGTACTTTTATAACTACAACAGACTGTCGACAAGTGTTACAGTAGATCTTTGCTTTTTCTGCAAAAGCCTAGAAATGTGATTAATTACCACCTAAAGAGAAGCTCAGTCTCCCAGAGATCTTGCTATTAAATTTTCTTGTACAGATCCAAAGGATAATGAGCATACATCATTAGTGGATTGTGTAAAATACACCATTTGTAGTCAGGAGGAGATAAGAGAATTTTAATTTCTTAATTATTTGCAATTAATGCATTCTTTTTGACTTGTGATTGCCTGTGGGCTTAAGGTAGTTGAAGAAAAAGGTGCTAATTCTTGTATAATTCTAAACAGCTGCTTGAGAAAGGTATTTGTTTATGTCCATACCTCAAATTACACCTGTGCATTATGTACTTCCATAAACTGGTACAGAATTTTAGAGAGAAAAACATCCAACAGACTCCACATTTGTAAGTTATTTGAAATAATATGTTTCAAAGTTGGAAGCCTAGGCAGAGTTAGATGGCTGGAAGAAAGAGCCCAAAGAGGAAAAAGAATTTTCTTTAAACTATGAAAGCTACCGGTTAAAAGAGTATTTTGAGACCAGTATGCATTACAGTGCTGCAACTGGCAACAAAGTTTCTGGTGAGGGTACAGGTCTCCTCCTGAGTCAAAATGAGCTGCGGGAACGTCATTTTGCTTGCATAAATGCAGCTCTACTGATGACTTCTGCCACCACAACCAGCCTCACACCTTGAGGCATGATGCTAAAACCTGCTGCTCTTTTGCTTGATGTTCTAAAGTGCACTGAAACAAGGCCATAGTGCTGACAGTGAGAGGTTATTGTGCAGGAAGGATAATTGCCTGAATATTGGTTAATGAGTGGGGAAAAAAAAACCACCCAACTTGCCTTCACTTTGTGAGGAGCAAGTTGTATTCTAGTTCTTCTGAGCTCTCTTTGGCTATCACAACATCACTGGTTCACACTCAGCAGCAGGTTGGGACTTGGAGGTACTTCTACCAGCGTGCAAACCTAGACAATCTCAACAAGGAAGGAGATAAATCATGTAAAGAACAAGAACACCCTAAAGGAAAAGTGCAACTGGGATCCCTACTGGTTCCTTAACCATTGAGATTTGCCTGAGAGGCAAGACAGAGAATAACAGTGTTTGAGGCTGAGCTTGTAGCCAGAGCATGCTGTGGTGTTGCAACCACCTTTCTGTCCCCAGCTGCATAGCACAGATGTGGGTCTCCATGTGATTCCAAAAGGAGCTGGAGCCACCAGGATCCACAGCTACATCTGGTGGCTGAAGCAGCATCTTCTCCAAAGACACCAAACGGCTGCCATCTTCTGTGCCCTGGCCACATGCCCTCAAGTAGAAGGATTAAGATTTGATTCCTTGTGCAGTAAGTATGTACAATATAGAAACTGAACTTACTACCTAAAAATTGAATATAAAATAAGTCTAGAACCAAAAGCATAGTTCGATGGACCAGGATAGAAATTTTGGGTCTAAAACCAGCCTGATTTTACACTTTCACAGAATTTTCTCTCTTGACTGGGAACACAAAGATAACACCAATTAACAGCCGATTATTTATAACGTAGGAGTGACTACAAAATTGCATATAGTGGATTTATTGAACAATAACTGTTTTCCCAATTTTAGAATGTCACAATACTTAATCCAATTATGTGGACTGCTAGCATGCATGCTAGTTCTAATTTAGTGACATTTTATGATTATTCACAGTAACAAAAGTAAACACTGCAAGTATTCAGGCTCCTATCTTAACACAGCTGAACAGACAGCAACTTCTCAAATGAAACTGCATATTTAAAATGTTTTACTTTATTAACAATAAATTAATCTGTGGCTTCACTGATTAACAAAACACTAAAGATATAGTGAGCAGATTGTCTACAAACTGATCAGAAAGGCAACAGCATTGCTACTTTGATTAGCATTTCTCCCATTTTTACGAACTTATATCACTTTCACCCATATGAACAACACTGAGCAGAAGAAATGTAATGCCACAAAATGTAATTTCCCCAATTTTTCTATTAAATAAGGCAATAACAAAAGGCATAGCGTCACAACACCCTACTTAAAACTCTAGATACTGAGTCCTGACATAATGCAGTGCTCAAAGAGGAATGTGCAAAAATAAACACTTGGGTTTACACTTTGATTCTTCATTGTGCAAAATTCAATAAAAAAAAATTTAAAACCACAAAAAAAAACCCCAAACCAACAACTGTTCCAGATGCCACTGTCAGGAAAAACAAAAGAAGAGCTTCTAGGAGAATCCAAATTGACAAAGCTGTTCTTTCAGCCTGTGGCACCATTTGGAATATCTTGAGCATCTGCTAAATGTAGTTTTTGGCTGAAGCAAACCATTAAGGAATACCATTTTCACACACAGCTAAGGCATAAACAAGGTAGCAGCATTACATGAAACTATGCTGAGTCCTGTCACGGGTACGCACCAATCCATGTGAATTCAGTTCTATTAAGCCCTACACTCACTCTCAACTAGGAGATTAAATGTTCCTCAATGAGATTTAAGCATTACATACCTCCAGAATTAGCTGACAGATCAAGGGGGATGGCAGATTATTTTTAACACTATTATGTGATATCATCACTTTCCACTTGTGTTCTTTGAGACTTAGCCTTAAATAGCTTTCCACACACATAGAGAAAGCATATACCAGTGCAGTATCTTAAGTGTCAAACCAGAGTCACCCCTTTATCAACACAAACTGAATGCAGTGCTCCTCAGCTGTGTTCCTAGCTTATGACAAGCAAAGACATTAAGCTTTATCTTCTTGCGGGGGGGGGGGAATGCACGGGGCACTAAGAGCACACAGTTGTTCAGTTACCAAACTCTGCTGAGCTGTTTGACTCAACCATAGTCTGACCCTAGAAATGAACAATTAGGTCAGTCCACTACTCACAGTAAAATCAGTGATGAACAGCTGCACATATTTCTAGAAAAAAACTAAAAGGTAATAGGAGTCACTTACTGATGGGACAGAACACTCCTGATTACTCTAGAAGGAATATTACTATGTATGTTTGTTCCAGAAATGTCTCAGCAAGACACGTGTACACAGACCCTGCTTCTGCTGGGCTTTGCCATTGACTGCCAACACACTGTCTGAAGCAGTACCTGCCACCTAAATAAATCACCAGATATAAAAACAGCCTGTAATTCAAAGTGTTACGATCCAGTCGTTTATGTACTGGAAGAACCTAAAATCAATGCTGTATTACAATACTAATTTAAAAGAAATTACATTATACTATTATATTATATATACACTGTAATTTGATTACAGTTAATAATGATAATGCTAATTAGACAGTTAAGGAAAAGGATACATAGATGAATTCAGTTCTTCTAGCTGCAATATAAATGTAGAAAATATCAGAAACCACAGTTCAGTTAGTCAAATGCAATAATTATGCTGATATGATGGAATAAATACATTAAAATAATTAAGGAAATCACTAATGGCTGGGGTTGAAGTGTATGATTTTATTACTGCACTGAATTTTACACCCATAGAGCTAAGTCCCAAATTACGTTTGTCTGTCAATCTCAGGAAAGTTAAAGAAATGTTAACAGTTTGGGATTTTATGGAAATACACTAGTGAAAGGAGAAACTGAAAGTGCAGAATACATAGATCTAAGTTCCTTGTTATGTGTGGTCTTCCCCAGATGTAGGGGAATGGACCACAAGGAAAATGTTCATTGACTGCCTCTAAACAGGCTGACAGCCTCAGGCAGTTTTCAGGCAGTGGTGACTGCACCACTCACCAAGACAAGCAGCAGCCTACAAAAAAAACCAAACAACAACAAAAAAAAACCACCAAAAACCAACGAAAACCAAAACAAAAACCAACAAAAACCAAAACAAAAGCAAGGTGCTGTGTTTTCTCAAAGCCAAGATGAGGACAGGGCTTGCATCTTGGTTCGTTACAGAACACATCCTCAGCTGTAAATCGCTGCCTGCTCAGTAGCGTCCTTTCCCTCAGCCGAGGGCTGTAGGCAAAGCTTTGCCTTCCCAGTACTTACATCTGAGAGCAGCCTGTCCAGGTTGGAGTCGCTGGCCAGTTTTCTTTTATCTTCAGGGAGTTCTTCCAGCTCCCCATAGAGCTCCAGATTGAGGCGAGCAAGTTTCTCCTGCATACTCCGCACGTGCTCCATCTGCTCTATGGAACATTCATTTCCTAAAAGGACGAGCAACGGCATGAAATAAAGAAACCTGAGAGAGCAAATGAAGGTGTGAAGATGCAGCGTTTTACATCAGAGAAGAGAAATTTAAACGTCTAATTTACAAATTAATTTGTGTTCTCAGTGATCTCTCCGTTTCACTACTGAAGTTTCTGTCAGCCTGTCTGGTGTCATGTTGTGCTGAACTTACAATAATCACCAAGTGTACTAAACTGTTAATTTTAACATGTGTTTTTCCTATACCCTGAATTTCTCTTCCATTTAGGAAGGCCTTGTATTTTTGACTTCAAATATGATCACAGAAAATTTTCTCTTATTTTAACAAATCTTGGGCATTTCTTTCTTGTAACTTACCTTTTACTAATACAGACTTTTCAGGTTCTCTTGTAAAATCGCTGCAGAATTAACATGATATGCTGACCTAACTCTAAACTTGCAAAAGCATACTTCTTTCTACATTGTATAGGGCAAAAAAGGAAGCGGAAGAGTGACATGTTTCTCTTGACACCTCCATCAACTGTGAAGTAGTAAGATCAGTAAGATGCTACGACAGAAGAATAAGCTGGGTAAAATGCAACTTGCATTGGATTCCATAGATGTTGATACCAACAGCATAAGGTGTTAACATGCTGCAAAACCAGGTGCTAAATAAAGTTACTTATTATTTCTATGCTATGATAAATAAGTGGCTTTAAACTTGGTATCTTAAATCCATTAACCAAGGTACTGCCTTTGGTATGCCATGCTGGAAGGAACAATGAAATGGCATGCAAAATATCTCACACCAACTTTTAAAAAATGCAGTAAGATCTATTAAGCTGCATTAAACCTCATTTCATACAGCAGAGACCAATATGCCAAACTGGGAGCCTGTCCATACAGACGTTGTATGTTTGCAAACATTACCATCATACAGCTATAAAAACAGTTACTGTATACAGACAATTCATGCACTTACCAAATGCTTGAAGTTTGCCAGAGTGGAAGTCATTCAGGAGACTCAGAAGTCCTCTTTCCATTTCCTGGACATCTGATACATCCGTGAGAAATGAATGCTGGATTGGTGCTGCCTGTGCCCCTTTTGCTTCGCCTCCTGGAGGTTTGGCTTTCTCTTTTATTACGCTGGGAAAAAAATGAATAATTAAACAAAAAAAGACTACTTCCACTGATAATCTGAAATATAAGATAAATACAGATTTGAGCTTTGAAAATGAAATGGAAAATATGTAACAGATATTTCAGTCACTCCTTTTAAGTAAAAAAAAAATGGATCATCAGTTTGTTTTTCAAATAAAGAACAACATCGCTATCTTGCCAGTTTGATATTCTAAAATGAAGGATTCCAACAATCTACTTTCCTACTGATAGCGGGAAACATCCATGGGACATGGTATGTAATGGCCATCTTAATAATCTAAAGAGGACCATTACCCAACAAGGATACATGGCACATGGGGCATTTGCTACATAAAATAACCCAAAAAGCATCTGCAAACTCTTTAAGTCAGAGAGAAAAGCCCTCAGCAATCACATGTTCCTGTTGTCACAAACGCCTATAGACGGCAATCAGTGTGGAAAACAACTCTTTGTAAACTGTACAGGAAGGTTACCTTGCCTTCAGATAAATCTTCCTAGAGCTCCTTCTTCCCACCTTCAAATAACATCCAGATTTGGTAAAAATCACCATCAAATGCAACTTCCCAGTAATCTAACCTAACACACACTAAATAGCACTAGTCCGTGTCTGAACAAATGTTAAACATGGTGAAAATTCTTTACTGCCCCCTCTGGAACAAAGCCATCAAAATTCCTGGATCCTCATACATTTTTCTCTAGACAGAAAATTTATTCAGAGCACTACTTGCCCATAGAAACTCCATGGATGAAACGGAATAACCATTATAAATCCAAATGAACACACAATTGATATGGAAGCTAAACACTCAGTTACCAGTGAGAAGCAGCACACTCCACCTCTGCCCCAGAGACAGACTGCATCCTAACCTAATAGATATCACATAAGGGGCTGCTTTCATCCTTGATGTCCCCCCCAATGTGTGCATGCAGCCTCTCTCTCGCAGTGGCATGGCTGCTTCTGCAGCCTCATGGTGACTCCCTTCAGAATCTGATTCAAGTGAAAAATTTTGAGCCTACAAATTAAAATGTAGAATACTATGGGGTATTAAAAAAAACCTCATAGGCACAGTAAAGAGGCTTTATTTAATTAGTGAAGATAATAGGGTTTACAGCATAGTAAGCGCCACCCTTCCCTTTAATAGTCCCATGCTCTGCAAGTCATAAATGCTCTCCTTCCAGTGGGAAATAATAATTCTTTTTCCAGCCTAACAGCTTCTGTAGTCTCTAAATACCATATAGACTACATAGGCTATATGCTGGAATGCCTAACAGTCCAACAATTATCCTATTTGTTTCAACTCAGCGCAACACATCTCAATTCAGGTTTAACTATGGCTATTTCTGCTGCCATTTCAGACTTAAAGAAAGTTTTGTATGCCAGGAAGGTCATCGATTTTTTTCACCTGAAGTTTAATACAATATAGTACTGCTCCTGGAAAACATTTTTCATTAGATTCTTGTAAATGAAATGAAAATTAACAAATACTCCTACTCCACTATTGTAACGACAATGTGCTGTTAATGACCACTCCTGCTTGAAGAATTCAAAAAATTGAATTAGCACTGCTTAGTAAACTTCACTTAACATTGAGCAAGAACGTCCTTTTCCAAAACTTAAAGCAAAAAGGACATTTTCTCCTTTAGCCAATATTGCAGGCTTACAATAAATACCTTTCTAGTACCTTCCAGAATAGTGCTGAGTCTTAATAAACTATACAGCCAGCTGCAGGCACCAGCAATTTCCATCACAGTAGTATTTATTATTATTTCCCTCAAAATAGTAACACATTTTCTCTGGAAAAAAAAAGTATAGACTTTACATTGCAGAAATGCACGATGCTTCCACAGATCAATAGTGGGTCCTTCAGACAGACTCTGTGCCAAAGAGGGCAGTTCAGTATTTAGTCTTCAGCTAATACTTACAGATAATAAACTCCACTGCCTCTCTCTAGCTAACAGTTCACTTTAAAATCCCTCTTCGCTCATTTCTCTACTGTAGCTGCCATGGCCAAGGAATGTATTTTCTAACACGCAGCAAAATAAACATTCTCAAACTGAAACAGATGCATCTATACCACACAAACTACTCCGCAATGGTACTTTCTGAAGAGTTGAATGTCTCTCTCTGCATGCAAGGATGGCCTGGGAGCTACCACTGTCTGCACTAATAGGTCATCAAATAAAACGCACCCAGAAATTCCAGTTCTCGCTCATCCTGGTCAATTTAGGTCCTTCATTTCCTGCCCTACTTGTCAGTCCCAACCTTGCAGTCATGTTATATTTCATCTGTTTCTCATAGCTGTACATCTGGGGCTCTGCTGCCTCCCATACAACACTCATATTTGCTATATTTGATCACCCAACTCTTGTTTTTCACCTGTCACATCAGGCTGTCACCTCTTCAGCTAAACTGCAATCAGTATGAGCCTACAGCATTGTGTAACGTTTTACAGAGCTTACAAGAGCATCAAGCACCTTTCTTTTCAGTAAAATAATCATTACACTGCATTAAGCACAAATCACTTTGCTAAAAAAAGACACATAATCACAAATATTCTGAAGAAAGAGTCCAAAGCTCTTTACTTCCATTCTGTCCCAGCCAGTCTAAACCCCCTTTAGACTGTATGAACACTGTTTCTGCTTCTCACTTCCACTGAGCTTGCAAGATGCTCCCAAGCTTACCGTTTTAACTTTGGTTTTTGTACTGCAGGCTGTGGTGCAGGATTTGAAAAAGCTGTACTTTTACTGACCGGCACTGAACTTTTCTTGGAGTTAGCAACCTGAGCAGGATGACTGGTAGATGATTTGGGGCTCCTCCTCTTGATTTTCCTTTCTTCCATTTCTTCCAATTTACTGCATGTAGACTATTTTGCCCTTCAAAGGGAAGTACAAGAAGTAAGAAACATCCATTACAATAAAAAGAAACTGGCATTTACAATAAAAGAAAAGGAAAAAACAGGTAACAGTGCATGGAAATATAGTTTTATAGTTCTATAAAGATAAGCAGTCACTCATTGCTTCAAACAGGAGAATCCTGTTTTCGGAAGAAGCTGCTCAGGTCTGCCTGGTCAGCAAAACATGCAGAAATTAAAATCCTCTGCATCAGCTTCAGCCAACAGGTACCTCAAAACGACCTCAAGTTTTGCATCCCATGGATTATTGCTAGAAAACACCAGGACTACTCAAGTGCACGCCAATCAAAGTACTGATAAATGACGACGGCATGAGGATGCCATGATTCATCCTTGCCAAACAACCTCCTCGACAGGGAGAGGCAATGGCCTTGGCAAAACTCAGCTGATGCCAAGTTGTTATTGCTGTAATATATGCTATTGATGGGTACGACACAATAACAGATATACTATCTTGCTGCTATCACGTATGCTACTCTCGGGTGTTACCTAATCTCCCCGCCTGGGGAAACGCCTCCTCTGAAACCCAACGCCCCGCGGAGGCGGCAGAGGGTGCCGCGGCCACAGCGCCGACCCCCTGAGGGCAGCTCCCCCGGACCCACCGCCACCACCTCCCGGAGCAACGACGCTTGAGC